ATATATGTATGTACGTATGTATTTATAATCAGGGACATCGTTGTTGTACATATAGTATTGTCCTTTGATGGAGGAATATCTTATCGCAGAAACAAATCTTGCTTTTAGGTGAAGCTACTGAAGTTTCAATTATGGCCATCCCGTTTTTTCGTCTAGATTATAACGGTTTTGGACAATCGCGTGACTTTGGTGAGTGGCAAATAGATTACCGGACTCGCCAAGGTCACACTGTACGTCGGCTATCTTTCTTCTGTACACTTCATGTTGTTGCACATTGATTACTTTCAATCATAATTCTAATCGAACTTGGGCTTACAGTTTTTAACCAGGTTAACGCTTATCTTCGAAAACACACGCGACTCGGGCTCTGTGCTATTAACGGTCAAGAAATGTATGTCCGCTACAATTGATTTCTTGTTACTGACAGCCCATTCGGGCGTGTGAATGTGAGGCTTCTAACCCATATTTTTGAGTCGAGATCATATGCGATATACATAAATTCCTTTGGATAGTCACCAAATCTAGTTGGGACCATGTAACGCCAGAAACATTGACTGACGGTTTCGCACAAACATCTCTCGTACAGTGAAGAAGAAGGACAGTCCGCCATGTGTACTCGTACGCGTGGTTGTCAAAAAAAAGAAATTCAGTACAGAGGTAAGTTTATGTATTGCGATACTTTTTCTCTCTTCTAAAATACATCTGGATGGGGAATTCAGGATGTGATATACGGTTGTGAGCGGGCTTTACGTTCGTTTAAGAGCACGCTAGGATTTTGCGATGGTACTCAATGCAAAGCTAGTATATAAAATAGTGGCATGCTTCAGATATCTGTACTAGATTGGTCTGGATTTATACGAATTGTGCCGTGGCATTCGTCGTCGTGTGTAATGTTATTAATATTGTCTATAGAGTCTGTGTGGCGTGCTTCCTGCAAAGATTCGGTTCCCCAGTGGTCAGGTAAGGTCATAAATTATAAAGGTAAGTCCATTCGTGTCTTGTTATTGGTCGTACTTTCTGTGCGGGTCGGAATGGGGTTAGCTCTGAGGTCATGAGAGCATGTATTATCAGTATGTTGGTAGCTTCAATGCAAAGGAAATAGGCACCGAAAGCTCGTACGTATCTTTTTTTGGCTTGTGCTCTTCGGGCATTCGCACGCGCATTTTGTTGTTGTCGATTGACATAGCTTTATGTACTTTCTATTGTGATTGTACACGCAAGGCAAATTTGATTCTAAGTCAATGTCTGAAGGGATGGCTTATGTATTGATTTCGATTCAGATGCAACGCTCGGATTCATAAGATACATTTCCAACACTGACGTGTATTTAATTTGTATAGTAATGCTAATGCGTGGGTCTATCGAGTATAGTACAAAGTGCTATTTGTATATATTCAACTGAATGCTTTTCATTCAACGTAACGCTTCACTATTGAAGCAATGGACAAATATTAGGACACATTTTTTATCCCGAATTCTGTAATCGACCAGCTCAACCTATACGCTCGCTCTTCTTATTCTTGTTATTTAGGTGTCAAACAACGACGTCGCCAGCTTCAACGAAAGACTGTTTGTGGCGTACCGAAGTCAATGCACCGCGCTTAAAAAGAAGATAAAGAATAGGGGCAAGAAGACGGCAACAAAACACAACCAGCACACCTAGTTAGAGGTTCAAACAAAATATATAAAAATCAATACACACAGTCTTGCGACAAACGGCATTGAACTTCTTACTCGTGGCCCTGTTCGCTATACCACCAGAGCTTTTATATATGTCCATTTTTGTTCTATACATCAAATCGATGTTTTTGTGCGCGTCCTAATTAGGTATTCATCCAAATCAGACCCATGGATAACACGTAAATTCAAAAATCACAGGGACAATCCTCGAGCGGTGATACATTTGGGTCATGAAATTGAAACAAAACACAGTCGATGGATGACACAAATTTGAAGGCCAGAGCGTTCATAGGCCTCTCCGAAAGTCAGCTTCAATTCCTTTGCTTGTATGATTTCTCCGAAGTAGTTTGAATTAGGTGGCGTTGAAAGTTCGAGACACTATGTGAAGGCTATAATGTACTAAAGAGTAGTAAGTACTAAAGAGTAGTATGCCCCTCTCCAAAGATTAGCCCTGAACCAACTGCACCACAGAGACCCGCGCGTGCGGTGTGGGGTGCAGTGCATACTGGTATCTATGTATATATGCACATGTATGTACATATATATATATATAAAGTGGAAAATCAGATTGTCTGTACCTCATGTCGAGAATTTAGCGCACGGGCCTGGCTGGGATAACAATCCAGCAAGGACCGATATTGCTATATATCGAGTATTTGAAGATGTGACGCAAACTATCACTTGCGGGATTTTCAAGTCTGTTACCTCCTATTAATCTGTCATCGATACATTTGTGCGTGTCACAGTCTTTTATCAGTTTGTATAAATTCTATGAAATTGCAAGTGTAATACAGACCTTTTTTTTCAAAATAATGGCAATTACATTGGCTTGTATGCGAATCTATCTAATTAGGTTCGATTCATACTTGGTATCAACATAAATTCTCTTCGGTGCAACGTAATGTATTTTATCGATAAGTTGCTGTGCACCTTGCATTCCACGCCTCAAGTTTTAGGCTGCAGACGATAGCTAGGTGAGAAGCTCAGTGCATATTTTTAATCCTTGTATATGATATTATGCGTAGATGAAACCACACCAAAATCAATACATCAATTCGATACCAGCAAAACGCCATGCTATGTAATCCATTTTCGCTCGCCACGGAACACGGCACTGATCTTGGCATACGTTAACTGTAGATAAAGGGCACGCGAATGGTACCGATGTGTTGTTTGTGTTAGATATCAGTGAGCTTTCGGACATGTCAGCGCACCCACACCCGTGACGGTGTTCCCTCAGGGGGGCTACTTCAATGCAAAACTTGGTCCTTCGAGTTGGAGAAAACTGCAGCGCTCTCCGAGAAGGTAGGGCTTGGAGAATGTGTACGTTACGGCAGTACAATATACGAGTGAATATATTGCGAGGAAAATTAGATTTGAGATAGGAGTGGAGTATATCCTTACGCAGCGCGCGAAGGCTTCGAAATTGTGTCACATTCTCTTGTGCCGTGCAGGTGTACATTTGTACTTATTTATTTAATTATTTATTAGCGTGGGTGTCCTATGTCCTCTTCTCTACGAAAGTCATGGCATAAGGATCTTCGGACCTTGCCTTCAGCGCGTTCAAAATAAACAGCGACTCTTTCGTATCCTGACGTTGCCACCCCACGTTGATGGGTTTGCCTAAGGAAGTTAAGATCGGGATTGAAGCAAAAAGTTAGTCGATCAAGACATGCATACGTCACGAACATACTAAGCATAAACACACGCACCAAACTAAACATACACATACATGCCGTGGTCATATACCCATGTGCAAGCGTGTCAGAACATGACAATCCGTTGTATATAGACAAACGCAATTCGCCAATTTTACAACGTGCATCAGTCAATAAAATCTCAAAAAATAAAAATAGAATGGCATCCCATATTGGTTCATACCGAAATTGGGCAGTTTGCTAATGGGACCAAGCATAAACTCGCCCAGAAGATTGTTGCGGTTTTTCTGCAGCAAGCTTAAGTGTCCATATATCTCATCTCCCTTCTTCTTGTTCCTGCACGTTTCGTGGATGGAGTAAGGTGATGAGTACTTGTTTGTCACTTCAAAACATGATAATTCACCTACCCAAATTTAGTCGTAACCTTCAAAAATAATATCTTGCGTCTAATTGTTATCGGAAATGGATATCACTAAGTTGGCAGACTGAGATAAGATTCTATATACATTTTTGTATATTCAATGACACATACCCCTCCTCCTTAACTCCTCTTCAATCCAAATAGGTGGAGGAGGCGGGGGGCATTAGATGGGTCTAATTACGGGTTGCAATGCCAAAACATACCATATATGCGGAAGACTAAACTGGGCAACTACACAACTAGACAGTGTATACGTATCAATCAACGCACTTGCATTCTTGCCCCTTCCGCCTCCCATTTTGGCGAGTACAACATGAGATGGGAAAAACCACTTATGACAACGACGTAACATTGGTATATACATACGATCACACATTGCTTCTATATAACTAAACAGCGCAGACTTCTCAAGCAACATACTTCTTCTCCTTCTTGCCATCTTCTCCCCCCATTGGCGAGAGCAGCATGAGATGGATGTACGTACAGTCCGGCGGATCATCAGTCAACGGGAACAGCATATCATCCGTCCATTTCGGACCGGTCTTACTCTTCGCCGTGATCGTATGCACCTTAGTCTTACTCTTCTTACCTATATACCCCCGCTTGGTAGTAAACACCTGTCCGCTAATAAACGTCTGGTTGCACATCTTGGGCACGCCCGTCGCCGAGTGGCAGGAGATACACACCGCATGCCGTTTCGCGTCGTAGCCGAGCGACATGTTGATCGACTGACTCATCGTTTCTTCACCCAGGCGTGCCAAGCCGTCCTGCAAGGTCAGGTACTTGCTGACCAGGAAGAAACTGGTCTGGGCCACGGTGTTGGTCATCTTGGTGGCTTCGTTGAACCGCCGGCTTTCGTGCAGACTCTCGTTGCTCTCGTTGATACCTACACTGCGGAAGAACTCGCGCGACTGCTCGAGGTACAGGCGCTGTGTCTTGGCCTCCTCTATGCCCACCACACGCCCATTCAGGGCCTTGACTATGGACGCGGGCAGCTTGGCCGACTTCTCGGGGGTGCGCACGCCGCATATGTATATGATACCCTCCAGCACACACTTCCACGATACGTGGATGATATACTGCAGGACATCCTCCGTCAGCGACTCCTTGAGCGGGTCGATGACTACACTGGCCAGGAATATGGCTGCAGGAAGGGAAGGGAACCAAAGCGTTGAAAACGTGATATCGAGGACTGGTCGGGGGTTGAGAGAATGGTTTGCACTTGGATGCCCATCTTGGGTTATTTACTTATGTAATCGAGGGATAGGTGCCTTGTGATAGAAACATATAGTAACATATGCATACATACTGGAGATATCGCCTCACCAGCATCAGGTTAGTGAAGCTCTACGGTTATCTGGTTTTAACTTGCCTACAGGTACAATTCTTGATCACCGAACACGTTGCCTCACACGCACACCCGGTACCCACAGCCATATAGAAGAACTAACAGGCCAACAAAACAGTACAGCCACGCACAAAACAAGATAAACTGTGTAAGGCGAATTATAGCCAAGTTCAATAGGAAACCAACAATGACTGACCTGGCGGGTGATGAATGACTACCATTCAGCACAGACATTTGTAGTGCGACTATTGTCGGTTGGGCCAGACACATCGCGCACGCAGACAAGCGGGGCAAAACAAGACATACACAGCAAATACAGAGACTTGCATGTTAGCAAGCACACGCACAGAACG